TTATGAGGAGGAGGAAGAAGAGGTATTTTTTGGTTTTTCAGACTTTAGAAACTCAGAAGCTGATCAAATATCGGGTTAAATATCGGTGGGGTGGCCGATGTCCGATATTCAGTTTTAAGGCCGATACAGGCCGATACCGATAGGGGGCTGATTATATCGTGCATCCCTAATGCAGAGCTTTAGCAGTGTGATGAACCTCAATTTCTGTCATTGTTTCCTGCGTCTGAAATCCCTAATTAGAATATCTTTGTCGTATTCACTTCCTAAAAGCCGACTCTGTCAAGTAAATCCACCAAAGGCTGCCTTCTTCGCCTGACTCTCCGCAAACTTCGTGAATGTTACGGGCTCCGCCATGTTAGTTTGCTTGTTTTCCACTAGAGAGCAGTAGTACCGTAAATGGCCCCTAGGAGGCTAGAAACCGTGCTAGCTTGGTGTTTCGGCACGGCTAACTGATCCAAGCTCGGTCTGAACTCGGCACGGATCGGTTTTCAGAGGGAAGTGGAAATGGGGCTTATGTCTCCCGCCTATGGAGGGATGCTTGTTTCTTTATTGTTGGGGGGGGGGGGGGTAAAGACACATTTCAATTGGTGGACGTTAGCAACATTTTGATTGGTCGACAGCGAGAGTTTTTATTGGCCTTGAAGTGATAATGATGTGATCTTTAAAACTTATCAATGGATGATAAAATCTAAAATGTAAAACAATTTGATTTGAAAAAAGGCCAAAAACATTTATAACATAAATTTGAAAAAAAGAAAGTCCAATTTAAAAGCCAAATTTCTCCCAAAACAACTTTTGATCAAAAAGTCTTTCAACGTTTCATCTCTTAAGCTTTTTTTATTTCCATTTGCAAAACGTGATCTTTGCTTCATTAATAATGGAACAAAATTCACTTTATAGTAATATGGATCATAAAATAAGCCTTTTAATACCAGTCGATATTGAGAATTGAAACATGTTCAAACTTGACCTTTACTAACCTTTACTAAGTCAGGCCTACTACCCATAGACATTATATACGTAGACGCCTCATTGGACGTTGTCAGCAGCGAGGCCGACGTGCCTAGAAGGCGGCCATCTTGGATCAGACCAGAGTTCAGACAGCTGCTGTCAGAATGAATAGGAGGCGCCTTGGATCTCATTTTCATCACATGTAAAACGAGTCAGAGATAAGTTTAGACAAACTGAGCCTTTAGTTTGACACAACAAAAATGTACCTTAAAATACAATTTGACAAAAAAGTCTCGACAATGATGAAAATAAAAATTAACATGAAATTAATAAAAAAAACAAAATAACTTACCTCTTTTTTAAATCACATTACAGCAAATTTTCTTCTATAGATCATAATACTCATTATTAAAGAGCAATCCTTTAAAATACTGAATAATAATAATATACTTAATAAATTTATAATATTTGTAAAACCTAATCTTATAATATATTAATATAAAATGTGTTTATCATGTTATTTATTTGCTAAATATATAACTTTGCATATATTTCATCCAGTTTGAGTTCAGTTTAAATAGTTTTTAACCTGAATAAATCTGTGTAATCTAACTGAAAGTTAATTTTAAAAATTGTTTTGCTCTTTTAAGGGGTTGTGACATTTAAGAGATTATTGTAATATTATCTCTGACTCGTTTTTCATGTGATTGAAATGAGATCAAAGGCGCCTCCTATTTATTCTGACAGCAGCTGTCTGAATTGTGGTCTGATCCAAGATGGCTGCCCTCTCGGCACGTCGGCCAGCGTCCAATGAGGGATCTATGTATATAATGTCTATGCTGCTAGCAGCTTAGTTTAGCTTACTTTTGAGAAGCTAAATCCCTTCCCGTGACTACATCCCCCATAATGCCGTGTGGTTCTGGATTAGCGTTCAATGGAATTACTGAACACTTGATCAGACATATTGATCAGGTGACACCGATTCTTTCCCTTCAGTATCGTTTATTTTCCCTCAGCAGAGAAATCATTAAAAATCTCACATTATATTTTACTCCAAGCTGGCAAAGGATGATGGGAAGTTGCGACCCGGGCCGTACAGAACTGACGCCATGGTCCATTAATGGTGTCCTCCCTTTCCCTCAACAGCTCCTGTGTTTAGTGGGAGAGGCGTTCGACGACTACAGCGACGACGTCTGCGGAGCCGTCGTCAACATCCGCAACAAAGGGGACAAAATAGCCGTGTGGACATCCGACTACGAGAACAGAGAGGCGGTCACACACATAGGGTGAGTCGGCGGCGGCGGCGTTTTGGCGGGGCGCGTCCTGACCACGATGATGTCTGTGTCTCACGCTGCTGTCTCTGTTTCTCTAGGAGAGTTTACAAGGAGCGCCTGGGGCTTCCTATGAAGATGACGATCGGCTACCAGTCGCACGCCGACACGGCCACCAAGAGCGGCTCCACCACCAAGAACAAGTTTGTAGTCTGAGAAATGGCCTCTTCCCTTTACCTCGTCTTATCTGGCGCTGCGTACGTTTACTTTGCTGCAAAGACTCTGCGAAACGCAATCTGGAGACGGGAGGGAAAAGATCCAACCTTATGCCAAATTGGCCACCGGCCCACGTTTAACCAACATGTATTAAACTGAACGCAGACGGCCTTCGACACTAACAGAGAGAGGTATGGAAAGGGGAAAGAGCGCCGCCCTCTGCACATTACCTTTTTATTCATTTTTAAACGTTTGTTTTATTCTTGATGAATGACAGGAAGTCCTGGAGCGCAGAAAATGTTTATTTCTCTCCTGTTTGTGTTCGGCTTCTCCTGTTCTCTGTAATCCTTAACGAGATTAAACACATTTAATTTATTATCTTAATCCGCCTGCATTGTATTCCCCACTTAAACCTTTGATTGTGCTTTTTTGTGCCTTGAATTGTTGCATTTAATTTGAGTGTTAATATAAATAAAACTGGTTTTGCAATTATTACCTGTGGGTTCTGCCTTTGTTCTCCTTGGATCTGACAGAAATCCGTGGTCCGGACAGGAGGACAGTGTCCCATCTGCAGGACTTCCCTCGCATGTAGGAATTAAAGTCGGTTTTACAGGAAAAGGTTGCTTAAAAATGTCAGCATGACAAATGTCATCAGGTTTATGAGGAGCGGCTTTGATGCCTCCAGGAGACGCGTGTAACTACAACTGCAGCTACTTGTTGGAAATGTGTTGGTAACCTTTAAAGGCCAGCTGATTTGTCACACATGGTCCTGGGAAGGTGTTCATCTGCATGATGAATGCAGCATTAAGTTAAATGTACATGATTAAAACTCCTGACAGGGAAAATAAAGACCTCAGCTTCATGTCTTATTTCTCATTATGAGGAGTTCAGACTGGACAGGGCACCGCAGGGCTGCTGCACGGTAAACGTGGCAGCAGGCGCCGTGATAAGTTAAATTCAGTTTATTTCTATAGCACTAATTCACATCATGTCGTCTCAAGGCACTTTCCAGTTCACTAGATCTTCCAGTCAGATTGATTCAAAGTTTTCTATCTAAGGAAAACGAGCTGATTGCATCGACTCACTGACTCTTCAGGAATCCCTCACACTAAGCATGCTTGTAGCGACAGTGGAGAGGAAAAATTCCCTTTTAACAAGAAGAAACCTCCAGCAGAACCAGGCTCAGTGTGAGTCGCCATCTGCTGAGGTCGACTGGGGTTCAAGGAGACACAAGCAGACATAGAAAAAGAAGCATAGATACAAAAGGCAGCTGTAAAAGGCGTCCCTGTCCAGAAAACACACAGCCAGGCAGACGAGCTCCGAGCCAGCTCCCGCAATCAATCCTAAATTATACTGGCAGTCAATGTAATGAGAGCAAAAAAGTGGAAATATGGTCACATTTACTTGTACCCGTTAAAAGATGTGCAGCAGTATTCTGTACCCTCTGAAGCTGAGAAACACATGAATCAATGACACCTAATAAAGAGCATTACAGTAATCTAGCCTAGTGGTTAGAAAGGCACAGAGTTAAAAAATCCTGACGTGAAAGGATAGGTTTAACCTTTGCTGGATGCCTCAAGTGGAAGAAGCTGGACTTAAACCTTAAAACAGCTGTAATTTGAGATTCAAACTTCAGTGTGATTCTTCATGAGGGCCAAAAACTACAAACCAACATGACAGTGAGGGGATTTTAATGGAACTCTGTTTTACACTGGAGGGAGCTGCAACGCCGTCTAACTGTAAACTGCTATGTTAAACCAGCAGGCAGCAATAGGAGCCTTCATTTACAGCTGGAAGTCTGTATCCTACAGGCTCTGATGTTAAAAGGCTCTGATTTAACAGCTTACTGTGATGTGAAACACTAACACACACACGCTCCCTCTGGCTGTAAGTGTGTCTGGCTTATTTCCCATCTGCAGCTTTGATGGTGGCAGCTCACAATTCAGCCGGAAACAGCAATCAAGTTAGGCAGCATCACGGGCTGAAAATCTATTGTTTGTTCAGAGGCGAAGAGGGAATTTCACTGCAGAAAAACATCAAGAAAGAACTTTCTTCCTTCATGCTGTAACCTTAGATGTGCTGACAATGTTTTAACGAGGAGTAGGTGCACTAACCAGGCATCGCAGGTATCAGATCACACCTCCATAAATACTTCTTATGTTTCCACCCACTAATGTCAGCTTACAGCTCATCCAAACCTGAACAAGGTTTTCACTCTGATTTTATATCAACAACTTGGATTTCCAGAGATCACTGGAGAACTGGATGTATGCAGGGACGGATTTAGGAAATTTGGGGCCCTAGGCAAAGGCAGGAAGGGGCCCCTCTAAATTGAGAAGACAACACATTAAACACACCCATTCTACAGATAGAGAAATGTTAATAGAATAGACATCCATTATCTGTTCTAGGTTTTGTCCCTCTCTTCTTCTTGTTTTCCTTTCTATGTTTTGTACTCAGCTGACTTTTCATTCTGTCTCTAAAGGAATGAAAGATTATTTCCAAGCACTAAGCTCACTTAGCTGATTGCTCCTTCCTGTGTTTCCAAAAAGGCCAAAGTAAATAACCCAGTCCTTCTTTTCACTGTAGACAAGCCATGATCTGCTTCTCTGTTCTCCATTTTTCATTTGGATGAAATAATAGCTGCATGAATCATGACAGCAGACAAGATAGAGGAGAGCAGGTGGCGGGGTTACCAATCTACTCGCTCTGGAGAGCAGAGTTTGCTGCTTTTAGATGTTGTCTCAAAAGTCTACACTAGCAGAAAAAAGTTGCTAGATTTCGCGCTAGGCGCTTTTTTGAAATCAAAGTGCTAGAGGGGTCTGAAAAGTCGCAAAATGTAGCGACTAAGGCGCTAAGTTGGCAACACTGCTCTTTACATTGATTGTTTTCAAATGGTTTGCTGCTGTCTGTTTGGACCTTTCTGGACATGTGCAGCAAATGGACTGATCCAATATGGTGGACACTGAAGGGGGTGGCTGAGACACAATATTATTAGCGTTCTGATGGCATTTTAGCCAAAGGATTTTTATCAAAATCATAATTAACGTGCACAAATAAGAATAGTTTTATCAACCATACATGTAAACAGAGTTTCATGCCCCCCCCAGGAACTTGGGGCCTTAGGCAACTGCCTAGTATTGCCTAATTGTTTACTTTAGTAAGATGGTTGATCATCGGCCCCAGCAAAGGGCCAGTCAGTTCCCCGCTGACTCTGAGGATCAATGGAAGGATTTGTGACCCCAGAGTAAATTAAAGAGCTGGGGGCTAATAAAGCAGACCGTTAGTTAGCTGCTCTGTTTTCAGATCACAGAATAAACATGAATAAGACATCATAAAGTGACCCACCAGACAGCAGCACTGCTCTGCACAGGCAGTTTTTTCCAGTATTGATCGATATATTCCCTAAACAGCTGTTTGAGCCTGACTCTTGACATTCAGCCCAGCAGAAATATCATATTATCCTCATGTTAGCTCCCAGCACAGCACAGGATTGATTTGAACATTGATTGATCATCTTGGAGACACGTCTGGGAGCAGCAACTGGTTGTTTCTTCAAAATAGATGGGGGACCAAGAAGCAGAGCCAGTTCAGCAATGATCAGTGTCATAAAATACCATCAGCGTAAATAATAGCCGTAAGCATAAATATTTTTAATCATAAAAAGGTCTGAAGTCTGGTTTTATAGCTCATTCTCTCTGTAAATCTAACCTCATGCCCACTGCTGTAGCATTTAGCAATGTTTCCGTCCAGCTCCTGGTCTACTGCAGCCAAATTGCTGATTCTTTGGTCACATAATGATTGGAAGTTTTTAGGTTTCTGCATCTGGGAACGACACAAAAAATGAATAGAATTTGCATGTAGATCTCTATAGAAAATAAATTTCACAATATTAAGTTTGATTTTTAAACTATATATGTTATTATTCTTACCTGTTTGTTTGCACCGCCCTCATCTGCTCACAATCCCCTCTCTGGTGCAGCAGTTGGTTCATTTCCACCTGTGTCTCCCCTGTCTGGACCCAAATAACACCTCTTTCCCTCCCCCAATTTTCCTGGCTTTGTATTCTGCTCTCTGGCTGACATAGAGTGCCAGATTATTGAAAGTCATTGACCGTGTAAATGTCCAGCGTTATTTCCCTTACATTTTTTAAAATCCTGGATTCATTGGTGGTTCTAGACAGGGGCCACACATGAAAAAAAAAAAACAAAAAAAAACGAAATAAGTAATTATTTGCCTAAAATAAGTGCATTTTTTCTTGAAAAAGGAGGTAAGTGAGACACTTTGCAAATGGACCAAGAGAATTTATTTTTAAAATAAGAAGAAAACAAATACATTGTCTTATTTCAAGTGCATGCTATGTAATCATCTTATTTTAAGAGTAAAAATACTCAAAACATCTTATTTACTTACTCACATTAAGTGTAAATACACTTAAGATATTTTTTACTTATTTCTAGATCATTTTTGCAGTACAGTGCCCCTACACTGTTAAATTATCTAGAAATAAGTAAACATCTCTTAAATTAAGTGTATTTACTCTTAATTTGAGTGGGTAAATGAAATGCTTTGCCAATGGAATGAGTATTTGTACTCCTAAAAGAAGTTATTTAGATAAAATACACTTAAAATAAGACAATGCAATTGTGTTTTCTTATTTTTAAATGTAAATTGTCTTGTTCAATTGGCAAAATATATCTTTTACCTCCTCAATCCAAGAGCAAATGCACTTATTTTAGGAAAAAATAACTTATCTAGATTTCAATTTTTTCCAGTGTATAGAATTGGTTTAGGCCCTTGTTATGGCCCCCTTAACTAACTTAACTAACACAATATTTTTTTAATGGTGATGACATAAACCATAACTGACTGGTTCCCTTAACCAATTAAATTTCTTACCTTGTTAGTTTTAGTTAAACCATTTACTTATATTGCACGTTTAACTCCTCCCAATCAGTAAGTGATACACTTATGCTCTCCTGCTCTCATTTTCTACTGCTTGCTAGGTCTGCTAATACCAAAGCAAACATTTAGATTGTGTGTTCGAAAGGAAAATGTCATCCTCCTTGCTTTTTCAACTGTCTTCCCCACTTTGGATATTCTCCTGGTTTATGATCTCTGCCGAGTCCTGCCAACCTGCTGGGTCGGTGGGCTCAAACTCTTACGTCATTCCAAGGATTCACATTCAATACCTGTTAGATACACAGTGACGTCACTCTGCTGTTACCAGCTGGCCAGGGTGAGAACCTGAACTTCAGCATGTGCTGCCTCCCACTAACACTGAGAAGGTTAGTGGCTTTACTTATGAACTTTACTGGTCCATAGGTTCCTGCCCTGCTGCTAACCCGTCTCTGTCCCTGCTGCTGGTGGCCTTCTGCTGTTCTGCATTCATTGCATCCAATAAATCTCTAAATGTCAATCTGACGTGTCTACCTAAACTTTTGGGTCCTCTTTGCAATCCGTAAGATCCTGTGTTAATATACTTTGTA